TATAATAATAATAATAATAATAATAATAATAATAATAATAACCAAAAAGAAAATAGGAACACACACACAACACAAACAAAAAAGAAAAACCTTTAAGAGGTGTTTTGACCTTCGCCCTTGTTCATTTGAAACCAACATTCTCTAGTTAAATGTGACTCCTGTTTCCATTCATTTAACCCGCTACCCAGGCGATTCAAATTCCAAAACTGCACAACTTTCAGAAATCGCTGGGAGAGGAAGCTCCTTTAATGACTTCGCTAACCAGTTCGATGTGGTGACCGGAAATTGTGTGGACACCACGGGGTTCGAGATACCATGCGCCCGGAAGTGGACTTGATATATTTGTCATGAGGGTCATACAGGGGTATTCTCGTGATGCGTGATCAGCTGATTTTATTTTCCGTGAAACGTGAATTTAGGAAATTATTTTTCGTGATCACGGTGACCTGAAGGTTTTGCGTGACCCGTGAGGAACTTGAATTATTCACCGATATTCGTGATTTCACCATTCTATTCTACGTGATTTGGAGACGTGGGTCCTCCGAATGGTTAGAGTCGTGTATCAAGAGTGACTTAGACATGCGATTTGCAATATGGAGCCTTGACTTAGCCTTTCACGATTTTTCTTTCTTCAAACACTCTTTCTAGCGTAAGAACAGGTTATTAAAGAGTATCTTACTTGCTTATTTTTGTGATTCGAGAAAACGAAATGTTTATATCCGTGATCCGTGATCCTCATTTTTCCATTCGTGAACCGTGCTATAGACCCCCCTTGTACAACCCTCTGTCATCTCAACCTTGTTACTGACCTAAACCATGGTTGATCACAGGATAAATCGAACTTTTACCTTGGTCAACTTTCTATTGTTTTGGGCAGCGTTAACAATTTTCCACGGAATGAACGCATCACAACGCTTTTCACTGGCTGTAAATCAGCTAAAAAAACTACGCAGTCAATAATAAATTCGGTCCAGCTCCGGGTAAATCGTGGCAGAAGTTAAGTTACTTGTCAAGTTATGTATCAATGAAAACAGCTTCGGATTGGCAGCTGAAGCATATTGAAGTTTAACTAGACAGTGTTGGTCTGTATTTTAGTAGCGGTAGCGGTAGTGGTAGTAATAGGGGTAGGGGTAGGGGTAGTGGTAGTGGTAGTGGTAGTGGTAGTGGTAGTGGTAGTGGTAGTGGTAGTGGTAGTAGTAGTTGTTTTATTATTACTATCATTATTATTAACATAATCATTTACAAAATAAATGCACTGTTATTCGGTTATTTACCTGTGTTCCTGTGGACTACGAGTAGTCCCTCTTTCGCTTAGTCTGTCGTTGTGTGAGAGCAAGATAAACGTTTCTGCAGGACATCACATATATCTCGAATGTTGACAACATGTTGACAACATGTTGTCAACGCTCCTAACATAAGCCAATCATATTTTTTATATTTCACTATCTTCATTAACTATTAACTCTCATTTGAGGAGAGATTCTCAGGTTTCATAAAATTCTCAAACCTTCAACACGGGCCAGTGTGAGATTGTGCATTAATATTGCATAATCTCACAAAATCAAAAATGTCCAACCGAATGGAATAAAGCTATGCATAAGCCCACAAGTACGGATTGCGGAACAATTTTTTTTACTTGTGTGCATGCGCTGCGTTTAACTGGGCTGCTTCGGTAACAAAGAAAAATGTGAGAATTGTTGGGTTCTTTGCATCGTAACGGCTTCTATCATATCTGTCTAATTAAAGATTATTTTGGTTACCAGAAGTTAAAGTGCTACTATGACGAAAATCGCATCCTTCAAATCTGAGCCATTTTAAGACATAAACAAGTAGTCTGTACAAGAGTAAAAGTGCTGTTTACTGTTTTCAGATATCTCTTTTCGTTCCAGAGATATTCAAATTTTTAAAATATGCAAATTAGCCAAGTGATGACGTCATACACTCAACCGCATTTTGACCAATATGATAAATACATGTATATGTTATTGGCCGGCTGGGAGGTCCGTTTAGGGAAAAACTGTGACCGAGGTCTTGAAAATGCTGCCCGAGGCCGCAGGCCGAGGGCAGCATTTGCAAGCCCGAGGTCACAGTTTTTCACTATACGGACCGACCCTAAGCCGGGCAATAACATGTTTATCTTGTTGCGGTAAATTGGCTTACAAGTGGGTTTGTTTACGCAGCTTCGTCAATAGGGACCTTTAGCACCGAGAATTTTCAGGACGGCGACGGCGCCCGGAAGTGAAGTTTTATTTCCGTTTGAGGTCGTACATTTGGCGCGAAGTCGTCTAGGCTCGGCGCCGACCTCAAAAGGCTTGTTCTCACGGTGTGTAGAAAACGTGAGTAGATACGAGTCTCTTGTCCGCTTATACTCGTTCTTTTTTCTGGTCTTTTAGTTTTCGCAACTTAAGAGAATATCATCTCGTAATTTACTTGAATAGCTTTTGGCATAAAACGTATTTTATTCATCGTATTTTAAAAGGACAGCTGTAGACGCAGACTG